GTGCTTAGCAACCTCCCGCGTGCAGCCATAACTCAATAGCACACGCTATGGCGTTTACCATTTGTTAATTAATAATCAAACCTCGGCTCGATTTTTTTTTTTCGGTCGTGAACAATTTATGTCTTATCTTTTAAATCGATAAGCATATGGGCGCATAGTGATACTCGGTTGAAATTGTGGGCTAGCCTCCTTGACGTGAGAGCTGGAAGAATACCAATTTTCGTGTTAATGTATCCGTTAAAACAACGAAAGCATAATAACAGTGTTACGTTCACATTCTCAAGAAGGCTGCTCTCGGAGACTGATGTAATAGTAATAGTAATAGCAATAGCAATAGCAATAGGAGTAGCAATAGGAGTAGCAATAGCAATAGCAATAGCAATAGCAATAGCAATAGCAATAGCAATAGGAGTAGCAGTAGCAGCAGCAACAGTAATAGTAATTGTAATAGTAATAGTAATGGTGGAGGTAATGCAGGTATATATGTAATTTTTATAACTTGTTGGTACATGTATATGGAGTTCTGTAAAGACCTATGCCCTTTAAGGGGAGGCCATATATTTGACCTTTCTATGTTTGCTGTAAACATCGTTTGTCTCCATGAAGCTTACCTTTAAACCATACCATTTGGTGAACAATTTAACAACATAGACTTGCCATGGGAAATACTATAACCTATAATCACCATAGAGCCTAAACGTGGCCTTTCGGCGAAAAATGTGATGATGGCAGAGGTCGTATCACTATCGCACAGTAAACTAGGAATACGTTCCGATCTATAGTAGTAAAACAGTCCAATTGTCTGGGTCAAGGACAGGAATCGGCCAACCTGTCATTGCAAATCAAAGTTGCATTTTATCATTGCACAAACCACAAATTCTCTTTTTTCCAATTCTCCGCAATTCACTCTGTTTCACCTCAAATTTTGCATAAACTATTGCTGTGAAATGCTCTTGAAAATATGCAGACCTCCCAAGAGCATTTTACAACAATAGTTTATGCAAAATTTTGTGGGCAAAGACATTTAATTATGGGGAATTGGGAAATAGAGAATTTGTCTGATTTCTCTTCCACGGAAATTAACACCAATACATAAATTACATAGACATAAATTGCAAAACGTAGATAAATTTCTTTTTCCCACCAATAAATAAATAAATAAATGAACGAATGAATGAATGAATAAATCAATCAATCAATAGATAAATAAAGTGCTTACAAGCTCAAGCGAGGTGAAGCCGACCACGTTCAGCTGATAAAAAACTTAAATGGTGAAAGTGGTTCTTAACTAACAGTAAATTCACTCTTGAATATCATAATCCAAATGCAATCTCTGTAACAAACAGAAGCATATATGCTTCTGTAACAACTGAAAGGCTCAGTAAATATTTCTTTTGTTCCTTCACAGGCTCGTGGAACGAACTTTGCCCCCCTACTAGTCAAATGAAAGATTTTGTTTAGAAGTTGGAATTTCTATGATCTCAAGAAGGTACTGAGATAAAAGTCAAGGATGGCAGAAGACAATACCGCAGATGAAGGTCAGTTATGATAGCATCCAACAAGAGTATTTCACTCTGCATGTTTTCAATAGATTATTCGATTCATTTGGTTGAAATTCTTAGATTGGACGTCAAAAAAACACAATCGCGCGTGCATTGCTTTGGAAAGGGAAACTTGCTCTTGATATTTGGCTTGAAAATACATAAAATAGTAGTTGTTGGACTGCAACTCTTTGACTATTCCGACTCTTCGAAAACTAAGCTGCGCAGTGTATTAAGTAGCAAATTTTGAAAAGATCAATTTCTTATTCTCGCTATTGGACTGGAACTAGCTTGCAACTGACGTTAATGCGGCGAGTCTTTACCGAAAGATTTTTATTTTTTTTGATGATATTCCGTCGCACTAGTAGAGTAGAAGATCTGAATTTCTTGACGTTGGACGCGCATGTCTAACGCGTCTTTAGATAATTAGAGTCATTTGCCTGAAAGTGGCGTGATATGAGATAATCACTAGTGGAAATGTACATTTACATTTGAGGCTTTGACTTTGTCCTGATGTAAGTCGCTGAGATGTCTACAGAAAAAAAAAAATGCTTATCATTCGGCCATCCTAGTCAGTGATTCATCCAGTTTAATTACTTGCCAGGTGAAGGTAAAAAATAACAGTTGAGTCAACCATGCTCTCAGGGCAGCATTTCGGTTGTACTTGCATTGATATACGGCTGTATTCTTCGCTCCACTTGCCATTAGCTAGGTGAAAACATTTTTTTGTCGTTTATAGTTTTTACACAACCTTAATTAATTGAATATCGTGGTTTTAATTCCTTTTT